AAAAAAAAAAAAAAAAAGAAAAGAAAAAAAATGATGCTGCAGTTGTCAGAATAGTAAATAAGTACAAAATTCTATCTGAATTCTACTAAATATTATACAACTCATAGATAAGGGGGAAAGCCTATCAAAGGTTATTTTTAAAGTTGAAATTGTTTTATATTCCATTTAAACTGAAATACATATACCTAATCTTGTAAGTACATAGACCTAAAGTTATTATATTAATATGTATTATTCATTTAGTAATACAGCCAGTAACATTTGCTCATAAACAATATGATAAAGTACTACATTCTGAATTATAAGGTATATGTTGGATGAGTCATTTCTGAATATTTCCTATGTACATACATAGTGTTAATTAGCACTTACCATTGGTACACAAATTATCACAGATTCTAGGCCTAGTGACTTAAATATTAGCAGGCATAGAAAACAAACTGTAAAAGCAGAATTATTACTAAGTTCTTGAATATGGAAATTCAAATTGATAGATATATTTAATTATCTGATATTAAATGCCATCTTGAACATCAAATATTACATGGTGTAAAATGTACAACAGGATAATAACAATTTTAACATTGAAGTTGACTCATTTCAAAATAAAGTTCAGTTTTTTTTAAGTAATCCAAAGAAGAAAATTACAACCTATAAAACTATGCATATAATATGGATAATTATAAACAAAGTGGTGAGCCATATAGATAGTAATAATCAAAATACTTGTGATTTTAGCTCTATAACCTATTTTGTGTTAATTCGGTAAAATTAAAATTCTGCTGTTGAAGAACCTGACAAAAGCCATTGAGATTTATTTGTCTTTCCCATTGATTGTACCTTATCAAGAAAAAGGCTGCCCCTCAGGTTTACCCTCACGCCTGGCTCAGTAAATATTCAGCAAAAGAAAAACACACAAGCCTTATTTTCCCAGTGCCAAAATCTTCAGTAAATGCTTCTTGAACTGGACTATGTTAAAGTAAGAAATGTGTTGCTTCGATAACAATAACCCACAGCTTCTTTGGTGGAGCAGGAAGGCATAGTTTAGAAGCAGCTCTAAAAGCCAGCTCTGAAGGCACACCCAGCAGGGATTCCCACTGAAACCTTCATCTACAGACTCACAAACACATTATTGTACTTCTCTATTCCTCAGTGTTGCTGTCTGTATGTAAGGGATAGTAGTCAAATCCCTCTCCGGTTGTCAAGAAGATTCAAGGGTCTGGAACGTGTGGCACAGAGGCTGGCATGTGGGACACATTTAGTAAATGATTGTCACGACACAATTATTAGCCATTCTCCAGAACTAAAATATAAAGCAAACCTTGCTCACTGTGATAAGAGGCCACATTTAGCTGGGCTTTTATCAAAAGCCAGTTAAAACGTGGCTACTAACTTGCTCTGTCTAGGTTTAAGCTGGCTGAGATTCCTTGCAATTTCGACATAAATTCAACTTTGACTATAAGATATATATATTTTTAAATACTAAAATTTAAAGAAACTGACAAAGCAAAGCACTCACAGTTCGATTTCTTTGCAGAGTCGTACAGGGAGTGTGAAATGCATGAGGCCTTGCCACTCTTCTGCAGTACAAATGCTATGGTAGGACAATTTTTCCATAGTTACCCGGTAAATGTACTCTGAGTGACGAATTCTATGATACATCTGGAAAGTAAATAAAAGATTCCTTGAAACAATGCTTAAAATCATTTGTCATTAAAATTCAGAATTTGGTAAAATGGAACCAGAGCTATCACTGAAACTAAGGTAACTTATTACTGTCCACATTTCCACCGACACCGAAGCTATGGACTCTTGACACCTCAAAGATGCAAAAGATTTTTTCTTCTAAATGCCCTTTAAGAAGTCTTATTTAATTCTATAACAAAAAACTTTCTACCAAACATTGTCTCTAGGGAGTAAAATTACTACTTGTCCTCTTTACAATGTTTTGTATTGTATTTCTAAATTTTTAGTAAGAAAAATGCTGAAAATAAAGCATGCCCGTTTTATTACCAGAAAATGAAGGAGTATTAATGAGTTTAAAGAATATAAGACCTAGGATGCCTCTAAATCCGTTAAAACAAAACAAAAAATTATTACGTGACAATGTAGGTAAAACTCAACTGCCTTAGGGAGATTTCATCATTTTTTCCCCTTTGACGATTTACTTGTATATTTTTTATACTGTTAAAAATGAATAAATTTGGGATTTCATTGATGTTACAGCAATAAATGGAAATGCGTAACACAGATTTGTATATACAAGATTGTACCCATAAAGCTGACATATAAACATGTAACTACAATAACGTAAAATAGAGCTGCACATTTCACTATCTTATCAAATGAAGTTCTTGTATAGTTATGCAAATGTAGTTTTACAAATAATTATGACTAAAGATGAGAGAACAGACTAGAAGTAAGGCAAATGGAATGGATCAGTATATGTACACGTGAATTTATAAATAGGTGAAATTAATTAGGAGGGGTGACTTAAAGGAAAAAACAAGAGTCCCATACACTGAACTACTGGTGAAAGTGTGTGACATCATGGCAAATCTAAGTAGGTTTCTTAACAGTTTACATTTTCCCCAACATCTAATGTAGGGCAGCTGTCAATAGATAAGACTATCTACTCAGCCTATATAATAATATACATGGAATTATATGGATCGATAATGAAGATATTTTCTTTATGTCACCCTATAAAATATTTAGCTTCTTGGTGATCACAAATTTCTCTATTCCAGGGTGGTCTCTAAAATGTTTGAATATAAAACCCTTCATCAGTGAAATAATTTTGGAGAAACACTCTCAATGACTGAACATTCCTTAATAATTATATGCACATGCACTGTGCTAATATATTGTTTGAATTATAAAATATAAACAAAAATTAAAAACATAAAAATGTATGTACTTTTAAACATGTTATTTACTGAATAAGGCCTGTTTTGTTCTCTCTAAACAACTGTGTATTTTTAAGTGAAAAAAAAAAGTTAGGAGGGTCCCAATCTACTGTGTTCACTAGATATGGCAACATGTGACTTCTGGCTCCTACTCAAAGTCAAAATAATGCTTATAAAACGTGAATGTTTCAGATCGATTCAGGATACTGACGCAGCCATGACAGAGCTACGACAGACATCCATGCAACAGGATTTCCAGAACTGCTTCAGAAAGTGGCAGAAATTATGGGATATGTGGGTTGAGGGAAGGTGGAGTATTTGAGGGGATTTAATGGCAATGTGTCTTTTACTATAAGAACTTTTTTTTATTTTGCTCATTGAGTTTATTGGTACATTTTAGGTATACAGTACAGTTACATTTATCATTGGGATCTTGTACCTTTACATGACAGGTCTTGGTTCTCATGTTTTCCCCTTACCCCTGCCCTCCCTTCACCCCCTCCTCCCTTCCCCATTTATAAAAATTTTATTTCCATTTTTTCATTTCCTCATATTTTTTTCTTTTCTCTTCTTTCCTTTCCCCTACCCCTCCCACTTCCCCCACACTTTTAGCCCTTTTCTTCCTATTTTACATTGTCAATTATATCATTAGGATCTTATTTATGATTATAGTTTTTCACACCAGAGAAACTATTCAGTATTTACATGTGTGACTTATTTATTTCACTTAGGAGTTTATCCTCAATATGTATCCATTTTCCTATGAATGACTCTAATTTCTCATTCTTTATGGCTGAGTAGTACTCCATTTATAGAAAAACCACCTCTTCTTTATCCAGTCTCCAACTGATGGGCAAATGGGCTGTTTCCTAGTTTTAGCTATTACAAAGTGTGCTGCTATAAACATTGGTGGGCATATAACACTGTAGTATGATTCTTCTAATTCTTTTGGAAAGATACCCAGCAGAGGAATGGCTGGGTCAAATAGAACCTCTAATCCCAGTTCTTTGAGGTATCTCCATATTGATTTCCATAGTGGTTTCACCAGTCCGCACTTCCACCAACAATAAAGAAGAGTTCCTTTCTCCCCACAACCCTGCCAACATTTTTTATTGGTTGATTTCTTGATAGCAGCCATTCTTTCTGGGATGAGGTGGAATCTCTTGAATGACCAGTGATGTAGAACATTTTTTCATATAAATGCTTTTACTTTTTTTGTCTGAGAAACGCCTGTGCATTTCAGATGCCCATTTTTACTGTAAGAATTTTTAAAAATTCTAAACATTCACTGCAATCATCTGGTAAATGAAAAAAAAAATCCAAAAAGGAAGAGCCTAACATAAGGAAGAATCAATGGACTGGCACCTCCAAGAAGTGAGTTAATGAAGAGCCCTTAGTGACAGATTAAAAGTATACCACTGCAAAAATACAGCACTTAAAAGTGACTTTCTATAACTGCACAATTATTCTCAGATATGGAAAATATAGTAGAAAATGCACAGAAATGATTTTATTTCCCTTTTTTTCTCAGTAGAGAAAAAAATTGCCCTACTATTGAAGAATTTTAAAATTTTCCTTAAGACAGTCCTAAGCAAACTATTAAATACAGCATCAGAATTTTTTCTATACTGAGATCTGCAACAGTGCAAGGATGGAAATAGCTGTCTCTCAATCTTTCAGCTGACATGAAACTGGAGAAAAGTAAAAGTTTCGTGTGTGTGTTATGATGTCCTTACTAAAAGCGACATTTAAGTTTAGAGGAAAACTAAAGCACACAAAAGGTGACTTTCCTCAAACACACTTCCTTACAGGAAAAATGTAGACATCTTAAGTAAAAATTACTGATTTATAAACTTGCAATTTTATCTTACCGTAAACATCAACAGTTACTCTGTCGACTTAAAGTTCCTTTTTGAGATACATAAACAAAGAAAACCTAGTTTTTTGGCATTTTTTTATAAACTGAATCTTTATTGATACATTTTAAATATACAATACAGTTACATTCATCATTGGTTTCTTGTACCTTTACATGACTTACCTTGGTTCTTATTTTTTCGCCATTCCCCTGACCTCCTTTCCCCCCTCCACCCTTCCTTATTTATAAAGACTTTGTTTTCATGTTCTTCCTTTTCTCTCATTTTTTCTCTTCCCTTTTTAGCCTTCCTTTGCCCCTCCCATTTGCCCAATGCCTTTAGACCTTTTCTTCCTACTACAAAATATCAATTATAAATTTTGACTCTTATTTACACTTTTAGTTTATCAAACCAGAGAAACTACACGGTATTTACATGTGTGTCCTATTAATATCACTTGAGTATGTCTTCAATGTGCATCCTCTTAGCTATAAATGTCTCTAGTTTCTATTTCTTTATGGCTGAGTAGTACTCCATTTTATTAAAAAAACCACATCTTCTTTATCCAGTCTCCAGCTGATGGGCAATTGAGCTGTTTCCAAGTTTTAGCTATTACAAACTGTGCCGCTATAAACATGGGTGAGCAAATATTACTGTGGAATTATTCTTTTAATTCCTTTGGGAAGATACCCAGCAGAGAAATAGCTGGGTCAAATGGAACCTCCAAACCTAGTTGTGTAAAGTATCTTCACATTGATTTTCACAGTGCAAAACCTAGGTTTAATGAAAAGCCTGATAAAACAGTTAGCCTATAAAAACAACAACAACAACAGCAACAAAAACCCAGCTATAAGTGTAGCAGTGAATTGAGATTTTATGACATTGGCTATAATGATATTAAAAGCCCTAAATAGAGAGAAAAACAAAGAGAGGACATGTGAATGTGGACTATGGACCAGGTATAGAACACAATTTATTTACATTATCTATTGTAGTCCTTAAGACAATCCTGTGGAATTGGTCTTATTCCTTTCATCTGTTGAGGGAATTAAGGTGTAGGAACATGAATTAAGTAGCTTAAGATAAAAAAATAAAGCAATGGAGTAGATATTGAAATGTGCATCTGCTTGATTTTGAGTTTTCAATTATACTCAGAATGCATTAAGAATACACACACACACACACACACACACACACACACACACACACTAATGGTCAGGGAACAATCCAATTTGGAAGTGTATAGAGAAAGTGCATTATCTGAAGGAAAAGCTACATTTACTACAGAGCATGTACTTTTTAAAAGTCAACTAAAGAATGCCTTGTATGTCTGTCTGTACACAGAAGGCAGGAAAGCACACAGATTTTAAGATCTATTAATTTTTATTCCCTACCTACCATAGCATCTAACATGAATGAGGGCTCTAATCCTATTTGTGGAATGAATGAATGAATGATCACACTGGTTTATAAAATGTGTAATTGAGCAATGAAAACAATTTGAATTATGTTGAAATTGGCTATTTATATATTTGCAGACTTAGATAAGGATTAAACTTTTACTTTTCATGCTATCCAAAAGAAGTAATCTAAGAATTGTTGTGCACTAAAATCTAGGTATTCAAATTAGAAACAAGATGGGGTATGTGTGCATGTGTATTATGTTACTACTAACAAAGAGACAGCTGAATTTTAGAACATGGCTTTGTCACTCAATTCATACCCAATAAGATAGACTTTAGATATTCCCTGAAAACTTTTCTTAGGGATTTGCAACACTGTTCTTGAGTATCCTTCTCAACAGTCAGCTCATTCACAATTATACATTTTATTTACATTATTCTTCAATGTATATATGAGCGTCAAACTTTCTATTTGTCCCAAAGTCTTTTAATAA